CCTACACTTTGACACTTTCACTAAATGTATGGTCTATAATAATGAAGTAAAGGGATATGGTAATTAATTTAATAAAACAATGAAAAGAAAAAAAGATTGTAGTTCTCGAGATTATTTTTAGTTTGACTTTTTCTCATTAATTACAGTAGAAAGGAGAAGTGCTTGCTCAACAAAAGTACTTCAGGCCTTGTTAAGTTCAGGATTATTGACTGGGAACACACAGCATCACATGCACACACACTCCTACAGCCTGCCTGCAGTTAATGTATGACCAAACGTCAGGTCTGCTGACTGGCTGCACACTGAGGGTGCTTTGATCCAAGCCCTTGTAAACACTGAATGCCGGCCCCTGCCTGTGTTTGGGACAGGGGTTATCACCACAATAACACACAGACACACACCACACACACACAGAGAACTGGGAGTCATAAAGTCTTGAGTAAGGTAGGTGGAGGTGGACGCCTTATCTGTCTCCAGCGACCAAACATGCGGCTGGCTGTCAGTGACCCGAGGCCAGGTAAACAGACCTGCAAGCTGATAACAGCTGTAAGGGGCTGAAGGCGGAGCAGAAGGTGGATGAGCTCAGAGCCACGAGGCTCTTCTACTAAACGTAACAGTCTGTAGCATCAATTGATGTCCAGCCATCTGAATGAGTGAAAAATGGCACATTTATTTGTGCTTCAGTAATGAGGCTGCTCTGTGAGAACACAATCTCTTCAGCCTTTATTTACAGCAATAGTTCCCAAACTTTCTTTGCTGGGCCCCCCTTTGTTTTACACGAAAAGTGTTCGTGCCCCCCCCGCGTGCACACGCATGCATGCACACATCCTCCAACCACACACACACATATTTTGCTCCATTGCGGTTTATTTCACACCTCAAACATTTAGTAAACAATTAAGCGAATACAAGTAAACTGCAATAAATTACAGGTAGTAATAAAATAAACTACTAACTCTTTTACGCTACGTCCACACCTACACGGGTATTTCTGGTGAAACGGCGTTTCGAATCACCGAAAACTGCGACTTTTTTGCGTTTAGGTGTGGACGAGGAATTTGTCCAGTTTGTCACACAACGTCAAAGGTATGTGCCTTTTTTCACGTCACGCTGTGCGCCACGTTATTGTTTACATGAGATGAATTGCAGAACAGCAGATAGAGACAAAATACTGTTAATCTGACTGTCTGCAGGTTTTACACGCAGTTACTGTCCCTCCATTTACAAAAGCAGAGGCGTCACGATGTGATTATTTTACGTGTAGTTGTTTTGTCCTGTGTAATAATATTCAACATTGCTATCAATACATTTTTAAAAAAAACTGCCTCTCTGTGCAAAATGGGTT